GGATGTGACGGACAGGAAGGTAGAGCACGGGGAGTACCAGTACACGCAACCTCCTCCCCGACAGACTATTCCTCAGCACTTCGTATGATATTAATTCGTTATCGAGTGCTGGTCCGCACCATAATACGAGTAACAACACAACACAACAGCTGGGAAAACACACAAGCCTCGCAAACACACAACCGAGTATTCGTAAAATAGGGTGCCGGACAGCACTCGATACAACGTGTCACGCCGCACATACTACGGCTTCTACAGATGNACAGATGACATTTTTTATATATTTATTGTCAAAGCATTTAATTTATTCATTGCTATCGGGATGTTAAGAGCATTCCATGGAATATAACAAAGTGTTTCTGAAGTGAATTACCTACCCCACCCGCAATTATCAGAATAGGTGCTTTTTTTCCTCTCCAGATACACTCTGTTGTGATTGTTCAACCGCTTAGAGATGTCCCGCCCCTTAGCCTTTCATTACAATGTGTCGGATAATAAATAAATATCAATGATAGCACTCACTGTCTTCTTCCTCCTCCACAATTTTGTCCAGAAAATCCGAGTTCTCGTAGTCGTCCTCGTCTGTTTAATAAAAAGAAGATAAAACAAGTTGAGTTTTTATTTTGTATCTATTATTCTCAATGACTCAATGATTGAACTGACCCTCTTTAATCGGCAGTGATGAGATGACGTTAGCATAAACAGCTGGATTCTGATCTATAACAATAATGTAAGAAATGTTAAATCAATAATGCTAAACGTATAATAAGTATTTCAATGTATTTGAGGCCAAAGTGAAGTAAAAAGTAAAAATGCTCACCAGTTATTCTTTCTTTAGTCAGTTCGTTTATGTAAGCTGATATCGGGAGTGGAGCTCTATACAAACATATAAAATATCACTTGTTTTAACCTTTTTTTCTTTTACGAAAACAATGGATATTTAAAAGGTTACATAATTAACATAATACATAGTTTATTAGAACATACTAGATCCGTCATACCTATGTTTGTTAAAGTTTAGGTACAAAACACATTCATTTATTTATCTAATTTTTCACAATTTATGAATCACACTTTCTATAAAAAAATACACTTATATAGTCCATTAGACGTAAAAGAGATTCTACGTAAAAAGTATTAACAATACAAATATTACTAGCAAAATATTCTTAAAAAATGAAATGACTTATTATGCAAAATGTCTTTTTCAGCATGAATACAAGTTCCTAAAAGAATCTCCTCTTTTATTTTATTCCAATTAAAGACCGGCTGGGTGATTACATTCTGACATTTAAAAATAATAGTATATATATAAAAAATGTATAAAAAGATGGACACTTTAAGAGATTAAGACCTAAAATAAATCTGCATATTCTTGGTTCAGAAAGGTCTCTTCTCTTCTGATGCAGAATTTAAAGTGGACCTATCATGCTATATTGGAAAGATATATTGTAGGGCCATACCAATACAAAACATGTCTGTGAAGTTGTTTGCTTAAAATCCCAAACAGATCACCCATTGTAGCCATGCCTCATACTGCTCATACCTCTCTTTTGCAGCCCTGTTAGAGAAATGAGGATTTTGGGTCCTTAGCTTGTAAAAAAAGAAAGAAAGAGGAGGCGGAGCTAATGCCTGATCAGAATTCTACCGGAGATAAAGTTAAATTCTGCTGTGATAAAACGCCATCCTGTTTAAACCACATCAAGGATTATTTCTGAAACAGTATGGAGCTCAAATGCTTTTTCTCTTGTGGGTTTATCACAAGGTGAGTTCCTTTTTGTATTTCCTGCTTTTTAAACACATGTGCTCTCCAGTACAGGTTAGCTCTGAGTGTTAGCGAGGCTTGCTAATGTAAACAAAAACGAGATTACGTCCAAAACACGTCAGGCATTGTTTCTGATAGCAACTTTCTGTGGGTCCGCTGCCGATCTGACGTCATATCGGCAGCAAATCTGTATCCGTTTGTTGTACACCCGTTTTTAAAAGATTTGGGTACGGAGGAAAAGAGAGAGGGTTTTATTTTCTGACGCTGCGTGAGTTCCC